CAAACGCCAGAATCCGTTTCGCGTGACCAGTTTTCGATTTCCGTATTAAAAAAAAATGCAAAAAAGCTGAAACCCCGTAACCCTAACCGTGACCCAGTGCTAACCGTGACCCAATACTAACCAATAGTATATGTATATGTAAAAAAAAAAATAAAATAAAATAAAATAAAAAAAAATAAAAAAAAAATTTTAACTTTTTGTAGCCAAACAAAATTTTTACAACGCAATTGCAACTACACTACAGTACACACATTCATGTATACACCGCTGCCATGTTTTTCCAAAACTAATCGAGTGGCCAGACTCTATCTTTAGGGACTCTTGGTGCCGATCTAGGGCATACTTCGATGCTCGATAACGATGGAAATTCAGAAAAGAGGGTAAAGTGTCGCTATAAATGATTGCAGGAAGATAAATTGTGGATTATTAAAGTTGACTGACTAGGAAACTGTCAGCAACATGCTAATGCTTGACAGGGGTTTCTTTTGTTATTAAAAGGGATGTAAGAATGTCGATAATGATTTAAGATAAATGGGCTGTCAATCAATTTCTGAAATAAAACTTGTGAATATAAGGGGTGTTAGTAACTTCGGGTACTTACTGTATCGTAGCAAGTAATCTTTCTTTTAGCTCAATGTCCTTTGTACTTGCTTTAAGCCTTTCTTTCTCATTTGCAAAGACCTCGGTCGTGGATAAGATAGGCTAGATTGACGTAGACAGGTGTATGTTCAAAGTCTTTATTCCTGAGTTTATACAGATTGAGCTTATAAATCTAACTGATTGACTGACTGTATAATGAAGATGAAAGATACGCAGTTGCGTATTGAAATGATCGGAGGTACTGACTACTACTGGACTAACTAACTCTACGGACTAACTGAGAGACTAAGAGAGTGAGTGACTGAAAATCTGCTTTTTATATACTATTGAGAAGATAAAGCGTTACGGGCCGTGTGCAGATCGTTCTGAGAATTTAGTTTGTGTTCTAGAAATTCATTAAGGTGAAAGTCTTCTATGGAAATCTATGATGAAAATAATTCTAAGTATTATCAATTAGCGATAAATCCTTATCGATTGTTTGTTTTTGGCGTCTACATCGCGGATCTATTGAAGCCGCCGTGAATCTGCACATTTGCTTATCGCTCGCTGTCTCGGATAGTTTTACAATGTTAAAGCTACAGTATAATACGAATAAAACTGTAGTATAATATGGAAAAACTATAGTATAATATGGAAAAACTATAGTATAGTACGAGAAAACTATAGTATAAATAAGATAATATGAAAAAGCTATATTAATAATACTATTAGTTTTATAGAATTACTTGTTAAATTTGTTTCGTCTAGTAATTAATTTGGAAATTCAAGTTTTATTATTTCATGATTGAAAGACAATTATTATTGCGCGCATTTTACTATTCCATAAAGAGTGGTGCGCATGTTCCTTATTTTATTGATTTTTATTCTATTTTTCGCGTTTACGCAAAGATACTTATTATATATTCATCTATATATAATTGATTAAAGTCTTAAAGGTGAAGTATAAGTGCCGGTCTACAATAGGCGATTTAAGCCCTAAACCTTATGACTTAACCTCTAAACTATGACGTATTTTCGGCCTTAAACATTTCTCGCGCTGCCTTAAGCCCTAATCTCTAAGCCCTAAGCGAGTTGGCCAACTCCCATCTTTTAAAGCTTAGAGCTTGAGGCTAGGATCGATGTAATTTTTCTCTTAAAACAAAGGCTAAATCTTAAATCACCTATTGTAGACCGGCACTAATGCAATGTTTCAAACACAAAAAAGTTATATTAATATTATTAGCTTTATGGAGTCACTTGTTAAATTTGTTCCATGTCTGGTAATTAATTTGGAAATTCAAGTTTTATTATTTCATGATTGAAAGACGTTATTCCAGATAAATTGTTATACATGTACTATGTAATCCGTGATTCCATAAATGTATTAAGTTTCTTAAATCTATATATTATTCGCAATCGCATAGCTAATGCTACTACCAAGCATATTAATTCATAGTGTAGTGATAGTACATAGTATAATAGTGTTCTCTTTATGGAAACGTTTAATAATAATTTGTTTTTAATTAGTTTTCATGAAGTTATCAAAGTAAATTTTCTCTTAAAACAAAGGCTAAATCTTAAATCACCTATTGTAGACCGGCACTTAGTATCACTGATTATGTTAAAGTTCGATCGCGGGCCCGTTCTTAAAGTAACCGCCAGTCAGTTCTAGAAAGTTACTACTGCGCAGCTGTCTAGTTCTAAATAAAGCTTTTTGATTAGTCGGTCCATGGAATCTGTAATTCCTTGCGCAATCGATTATTACTATTAAAAAAAACTAAAATATAGTTAATTCCTAAGTTAAATAACCATATGGAACTAGAACAATAAGCAATTAGTGAAATTGATTAATAATGGAAATAAGAGCAAATGGTTAAATAATTGTTCTATATTCCATAGGCATAATGCAGAAATAGATACGGTACTTAATTATTAGTTAAAATATGGTTTTGAAAAATGACGGGACGTCACAGCAGCTATGTCAATTTGTGTAATAGCCCTTAGCCCTTAAGGTGCGAATTCATGGGACGCTCGTTTCAGCGTTGCATGTGGTCACGTGACTTCGACTCGACGCTAGCGTCAAGAAAAAAAAGCTGGGTTTCCTCAGCTTCAGCGTCAAGCCGTGCTGTTGACCATATGAATGAGATTTTTTTTTTCCTGAATTGTGCTTCTTCCAAAATAATGACAGGAAAAAATGCCTGGTAAAATCCATGATTGTATCGTTCTATGAATATTGGATTTACCCAATAACGCTTCCTACGATAATTTTTTTCTGCTTTCTGCTTTTCTGCCAAGGTGTGAATCCGGCCTTACATTGCCGATTTTGTTCTAATAATTTTTTCATACATTCACTTAACCACATGTAATATTTATTTCTAAATGACATGATTCACATACGATTACACATACGGTATTGACGCTATAAATTCGATGCTAAACCCTTTTCATGCGTTTTTCACAATGTAGCGTCAACTTTAATCACGTGACCTATTTTGATGCTAAAAATGAGCGTCGAGCGTCAGCGTGAAAAGGCACTTTTATACTGTGCCAAAGCGCTTCCAATGCATGATTTGGTTAAGGGCCCGGGCACATAAAAAAACTTAAGCAGTAAAGGCATCTTTACATGGCAGCGTTAAGCGTCGAGCGTCTGCGTAGAAAATTGCGCAGAATCTAATTTCAGCCTAGAATCTATCTCTTTTAAATTATGCGCATTTTTCTGCGCAGACGCTCGACGCTTAATGCTGCCATGTAAAGGCACCTTAAAGCCCGAATCACACTAGCAGCTCGCGGCTGCGATCAGTGTTGCCAACTTAGCGTATTTTCCGCTAGATTTAGCTTAATTATGTATCAGTTGGGGTGTAAAAATTATGTTTTAGCATATTGGGTGATTAGCTTATTTTCTGGATTATTAGAGAACTAGAACTGCGGATTTTTTCTATAATAAACTTTACTTTTATTTTTGCTAAGTTTTAATTAGAGACATTATACATATAATTAGTTAATTGATTCAGAAAAGGCTATGACCTAGAGGGCTTCTAGGAGAGAGAGGCGCCAACGGGTCATGTGATCAGCCAATCACGAAATGACTGGTCACATGATCCGTTGGCGCCTCTCTCTCCTAGAGGCTCTCTACTATGGCCCATTCATAAGCATAAACGATACGGTAAAACATTCACATCTATAGAATAGCAGTAAGCTGAAACTGAAAATCTTTAGTACTGGCAATGAATATCGGAACGCAACCTATATATAACGATAACGTAAAACTCGATTGCAGCTTTCACATATATTAAGCTTACAGCTTTTAAGTAGCGAATATTATTATAATATAAATTTAGACAGTCTAAATTTTTACACCAAATCTAAACTTAGCTATGCTAACTTATAGGTGAAATCTCATCATTATTATTTATTTGAGAATTATGTGTTATTATTTACTTTCGTCATTTTTATTAGATTAAATTTTGTTTTGTTAAATATTGAACAATAATTGGACGCTAAAAAAAATTTTATTTTGTATCAGAAGTATCTTTATATCTTTTAATTGTATATGAATAAAGACTCTTCTTTATAAAACTAAATGTTTGAATTTAAATATAATAAGATTCAAATATAATAAGAGTTGTTATATATTTAGCTTATTATTTAGCTTATTTATTTTAAATTTAGCTTATTTCGGAGTTTTTTAGTGAGTCATATAGCGGAATTCTAAATATTATAGTTGGCAACACTGGCTGCGATTGCGGTTGCGTTTGTGATCGTGATTAGCTACGCTCCAATCATACTTGCAATTGGTGTTTTTTGATTGGCTGAGGCAATCGCAATCGCAGCCGCGAGCCGCTAGTGTGATTGGGGCTTAACTCGGAACGGACCCTGGGGTAATCAGCACGACTGATAAATCAGAAGGTCCTAGTATACAATTGGCCAATTGGCAATGTGACTATCGGATTCCGTCCGTTTCTGAACGCATAGTCGCTGATCTATGTTGCGTGTCCATGATGGTGACTCGCAAAACGTCTTGAATGTTCATCCTAACCTGAAACTGTGAATCTGAATGATCAAAGAAAGAATTGTGTTTTTACTTTGTGTATCTGTTAAGAGAAAAGCTGAGTAAAATGCCGGAAACGAAAACAGAAACAAAACCCATTAAAGATATGAAGAATGGAAAAGAAGACGATAAAAATGATTTGGTGAGAGATTAACCTATGTCAGAGTAGTGGGATTGCCGTCGATTGGATTAGTGTCGAAAAGAGAATGTTTCTGATTCTGCAACAATATTAATTAAATCTGTGTATATATATACACTTGTAATTTATCAATACGAAATAAAACAATTCCTGCTTTTCTTGTAATTTACTTTGCATTTATAATAACTTAAATTATACTATAACTTATTACTATAACTTATTATTATAATAACTTTTATTATACCATGTATCTCATTATTAAACGACAGTTTACTGTGCAGTTTATTTTGTAATTTTCTTCTTTATGATAATTTCTCCTTATCTACAAAAAATTACAGTTGACTAAAGAGCAATAATTCAGATAAATATCTTAACTAAATACTTTAATATACATTTAATATTTAAGAGAAAAAAGATAAGATATGCATAATTGGAAACTTGGTTCTGTTTTTCAGTCAGAAGAAGATAAACTTCTACAGGAAGAATTAACTATGCTCGTGGAGCGCCTGCAGGATGCCAATACCAAACTATATCATCCTGCCTTGGAATCTTTGCGTTCGCATATTCGTGCGTCAACAACATCAATGACAAGTGTTCCAAAGCCACTGAAATTTATGCGGCCTCATTATGATACTATGAAGAGCATCTATGAAAAAATTACTAATGTCAAATGTAAAGAATTATGTTCCGACATTATTTCAGTCCTGGCAATGACCATGGGCGAAGGTCGAGAGTGTTTGAAATACAGGCTCACAGGTTCGGCATTGGCGATTGGCGAATGGGGACATGAATATGTTAGACATTTATCGGGAGAATTGGCAGGGGAATGGGATGAAGTCACGGGTGATAATGTTGAGGCGACAAACAAGAAACTGATTGCTCTGGTGCATGAGATTGTTCCCTATAACATGGTACACAACGCCGAAACGGAGGCATGCGACCTGTTAATGGAGATCGAAAGGCTTGATTTGCTAGAACAATATGTTGACGAAAGCGCGTATCAACGAGTATGTCTCTATCTTACAAGCTGCGTGCCATATGTAGCTGATCCAGAGAACAGCACTCTTCTTCATGTCGCTTGTAAATTATATCGAAAATTCGGACAATATCCACAAGCAATCAGGCTGGCGATGCAATTGAATGATTTACCTCTTATTGAATCAATCTTCACAAATTGTAGGGATCTGTAAGTATAATCTTTTAAAGCGTTATTTATTTAGAATATTTAAGCAGTTTTATTAAAAAAACTATTAATTGATATAGCTGATTTCTTGAAGAGAAACTAAGAAACCTATATATACTTTTCAGTTCTGTGCAAAAGCAATTGGCTTTTATGCTGGGTCGTCAACAGATCTTTCTGGAGTTACATGAGGCTACAGTAGAAGATGACGATTTGTTCGAAATAATGTCCAATTCCCATTTAAACAATCATTTCCTGAACTTGGCACGAGAGTTGGACATAATGGAACCCAAGACACCAGAAGATGTCTACAAATCCCATCTAGAGAATTCACGACCGCCATTCGGCGGTGGCCAGGTTGACTCGGCGCGACAGAATCTCGCGGCGAGTTTTGTCAATGGTTTCGTGAACGCTGCGTTTGGTCATGACAAACTGTTGATTGAGGATGGTAATAAGTGGCTGTACAAGAATAAGGAGCACGGCATGCTAAGCGCAACCGCATCCCTAGGTCTAATCCTGCTGTGGGATGTTGACGGCGGTCTCACTCCTATCGACAAGTACCTGTACTCGTCGGAAGATTATATCAAGTCCGGTGCTCTGCTAGCTTGTGGCATTGTTAATTGCGGCGTGAGAAATGAATGCGATCCCGCCTTGGCTCTACTATCCGATTATGTATTGCACAGCAGCAACACCATGCGTATTGGTGCTATCGTCGGTCTCGGTATTGCATACGCCGGATCTAATCGAGAAGCCGTACTGGGTCTGTTGACGCCAGTGCTCAGTGACACTAAATCGAGTTGGGAAGTGCTGGGTATGACTGGTCTGGCATTAGGGATGGTCGCCGCCGGCTCCTGTAACGCTTACGTCACCACAGCGATCATGCACACGCTAATGGACAAATCGGAGTCCGATCTCAAAGACACTTATGCGCGATTCCTGGCGCTCGGTCTGGGATTATGTTTCCTGGGAAAGCAGGAGGCTGCAGAAGCGATTATAGCAGCTCTAGAAATCGTTCACGAACCGTTCAGGTCGATGTCGACGACGTTGGTGGAAGTATGCGCGTATGCTGGCACGGGGAACGTCCTCAAGATCCAACACTTGCTGCACATCTGTTCGGAGCACTATGAACCGAGCAACGAGAAGGAGGAAAAGAGCGAACGTAAGGACAAGGAGAAGAAGGAAGAGAAGAAAGAGGATAAGGAGAAGGATCTTAGTTCTAGACAGGCTATTGCCGTTCTTGGTATTGCCTTGATCGCTATGGGAGAGGAAATCGGTGCCGAGATGGCATACAGGACCTTTGGTCACCTATTACGTTATTGCGAGCCCGTGATTCGCCGTTCGGTGCCGCTTGCCCTAGGTCTCATCTCGGTGTCGAATCCGAAACTAAACATCTTGGATACATTGTCCAAGTTCTCACACGACAGCGACCCTGAAGTGGCGCACAACGCGATATTCGCTATGGGCTTGGTCGGTGCCGGTACAAATAATGCACGATTGGCCGCTATGTTGAGGCAATTGGCTCAGTTCCACGCGAAGGATCCCAACAATCTCTTCATGGTACGCATCGCGCAAGGCTTGACGCATCTAGGTAAAGGTACGCTTACCTTGTCACCCTATCACAGCGACAGGCAGCTGCTCAGCCCTGTTGCTCTCGCCGGACTTTTATCGACATTGATTGGTTTTTTGGACGTGAAAAACAGTGAGTATATATTTTTGATGCAATGGACATAAAAATATTTGCTATTTGCATTTCAATTAATTTTCAAACAGATAAATTATTCCCATTATGGAGATTTTTATTGTAAAGTTTTTTAAATTGACTATGAGAAATCTTTTATAATCAACTCTTGAGACACAGGAATTTATAATAAATTTCGGCCTTTTTTCTTATATATTTACAGTTAATCGATCAGAGTAGTTTTTAAGAATTTTAATATTCTTATGTAGAAAGATTTTATTATAAAAAGCAAAACTTTTCTAATGTAATGTGATACAGTTTCTTGTTAATTAACATTATAAATATTTTTTCAGTTATTCTCGGACGCTCACACTATCTCTTGTATACGCTGGCCGCTGCGATGCAGCCCAGAATGCTGGTGACTTTCGATGAGGACCTAAATCCGTTGGCCGTACCGGTGAGAGTTGGTCTTGCTGTCGATGTCGTCGGCCAAGCGGGCAAACCGAAGACTATCACAGGCTTCCAGACGCACACCACTCCGGTATTGTTGGCATACGGCGAGAGAGCAGAACTTGCCACCGAGGAATACATACCGTTGACGCCGATCATGGAGGGTTTCGTAATTTTAAGAAAAAATCCGGACTTTATACCCTAGTCGTAATATTTTTTCAATCTTCAATACGCTCCGTATTAAACTCCACTTGTAAGGCAGAATATAATAAAAGTGTGTGTTATTATTCACTTTACATACGTGAAAGATTGCAACATCTCTATATATATTGCTCTTTTTCTGTAGGATCCTAAGATCACATTTTTTTTCCTATGTTTTAGAGAAAGGGAAGAATACAAATATTCTTTATTTAATAAAATATTGGTTTTAATAATAAAAAAATACTGATATATTAATGTATAAAATCTCGCTCGGCACGAATTTTGTATGCAGAGTATACATCATAAAAAAGATCAATACGGTATTTTACATTATATTCTTAGCGATAATAATACATCAGCAGACATTAGTCTTTCCTAAAGTAAGTACCACTCAAGATAGCATATACATACATACATATATATATGACAATTGCGCAAGTATATATATATATATATATATATATATATATATATATATGTATATCACGCGCAACTATATACGATTTATATGTTTTATAATGTGTTTTATTTATATAGTTTGTATTTTCGCAAAGATATGAGCCTTGGGAAAATTAGTAACTTGCTAACTATTGACTTTAAAA